GAGACAACTTTCCGAATGAGCGGTAGATTGACTTGACCATATTATACTCAAAAGTGACAAGTTGGGTGCCGAACATCGTTTCTCGGATTAGATTAGTGGTTATTGTCGGTGGTTCCATCATCGGAAAGTCAGTCTGTAAGTACATCTCCAGTGAAATATATGTATGATACCACCTTTTTCGCGATGATCACGGGTTCGACACCTCGTACGTAGCAAACATTTGTGTGATTGTTTGTAGTGGCCTGTTTTCTATATATATATTTAGTGATACGTATATATTAAAAAAATAGTTTAAGTATTTCTATCAGTTGTCTAGTGCCCATAACACAATCTCTACATTGTTTGTGTTAAACGGCGCTGTGTGAATTATCCAGGATTATTATTTAGCTATAAGGTATGTGTGCCCTCTAGTGAATACACAGCTCAACGTGACTTCTGTGTCTATTGCTGCCAACATTTACATATCTAAAGCGCAGTTGTTGAGCAGAAAGTTGTAGAAAACACACAAAAAGGACATAAAATGTTCGTAACATCATAAATGCATTATTACATGAGAATATCTATTCTCTATCTAGTTGACGATAGAAAAATAAATCTTTATTTAAATAAGCTGTAGAATAAAAATTACACATTTGCTTAACAATTCTTTAGACAATTTTTTTTGCCCGACTCATAAAGACAAACATAAAAAAGTTAAAAACTTTCCTCAAGAATTAGGCTATCAGATGAAAAAATATTTTTACCGGTAGTTTCAAAGACTAGCTGTTCAAACAAACAATTCAAATAAACTTCAACTTTACATATCACTATAGACATATAATATTTTTTAATTAAAATAATATTATGAATATTAAATATTATTACAGAGCCAAATATTTTTAATCTTAACCTAATTTTGAGGCCGTCCCTAATTTCATCCAATATTTTTTAAGAAAACAATTAATTCCGGAATATTCTAGATTGAACCGCTTTTTCTCTAATAACATGGCCGGGTATATTAGTGTGCAAGACCGACAGTATCCTCGGCATGTTTTTAAATATTAACTTTTTAATTTAGGAGTAAAGTGCTAAGAACCAGATGGGTGGTGCTCGCTCGTCGGCCTACAAATGAAAATTTAAAAGAGTCCATATGTCTTTGCCAGTTTTCGCTGGCATGATCAAATACTGGGAAACTTTTTGGTATACACTCACTTAGAAAATAGAACATTTTTTTATGAAAATAAACAGTATTATACATGTATAAGTATCACGAAGGATGTCACAAAAAACACTCGACGCCAGTATGGGATATTGTCATTAAGACCGAGGTGCACTAACTCTGAAAATTGTGTTATTCAAATGTAGATGTAGGTACGTAGATGACATTGTACAAAATTTAAAAAATCGTATCAGTAATTTTTAGATTATTTCTTTCCTTGCACTTATTTTCTACTAATTATATCCTTGGCCGTTTTTTAGACCTCTAAAAGTCGACTAAAAACGAATATATGTATTCTTAATTTGCATTTTTATCTATTATACCACATATAATCTAATGGCATATCTGATGGAGACTTTTCCATAATACGTACACACGTACACACACATACTGCACATACGTGCAGACGTGACATTGGTCTCCCTAAAATAAATTGGTTCGCCGTGATGGCTGGTTCACCATTTATACTCGTGAACTGGTCTGCTCTAATAATTATGACTAAATTACTTTAATACTCAAGTATCTATTTATTAATTGTTTAACTGTTTGATCTGTCTTTCTACTCAAAAAATTCTGTAATGCTGAACATTTATTTAAAAGAGCAACAGTCTGTGTTTTGAATAAGTGACAGAAAAAAAATAGTATTCAAGTGCGGGTTCTGCTTGTAGGAACTAGTCTGCTCTAATCACTACGACTGATTTAATCTTATTGTGAATCTATATTTGATCCTAATAAATTAGTGTTAGTTGGTAGTTTTTATTCTCAGGTTTCAACTTAAAAATGTAAAGCTAGAACGATTATTTAAAAGAACAACTTGCAAGTTTCTTACTCATAATTCTTGTGATGATACAATTTTCCGAATAAGCGGTAGATTGTGATGCGGATGCGGAAAAAAATTGTGATGACTATTCCTCATAAAAGTACTTAAATTAAGTTTATTTGAATAAAGGATTTTCTATTCTATTCAAAAGTGCTTATATTAAGTCCATTTGAATAAAGATTATTTCTATTTCTATCTAAATAAATTAATAACAACAAACAATACCCAACAAGGTGCCACCATGTTGATTTTACAACAATTCGATCCGTTTACACAGATGACGGCATGAAACATTACTAAGGACCTAATTAATCAAAACTTCGCCAGACCATTTCTCGAGCCAGTAAATATCGCACGAAAAAAGTTAATTTCTCTGTACTCCGTCTGCCTACATCCGTCGTATTTAATGCTGAATTATATATGAGCGCGTCGTAGCCTAGTGGTTTACAACCTGAATTAGAACTAAAAGGTCGCTTAAGTTAAAATGTGGCTACGAAAATACTTTGTATCAATTTGTTTTAAATTTGACGCGATCTTTATTTATACATATAATTAGTGATAACGGGTAAACAGATCATGGCGGTTGAAACACTGCCGAAATATCGGGAAATCAATAATAATAAAACGTGGTAAGATCCCGTACTTTTGATTAATGATACGAATCAATTTGTATTTCTGGCTAATTCCTGTGACATAAATAGCGAAAATAAACTAAAGTTTAACAGATAGCTAGCAATAGGCTCAACCTCCATCACTATAAATTCAAATATTCGGTACACTTATTCATTTTGTTTGTTATATGTAGTTATTTCTGAATTCGAAAATATTTCTTCGAAGTGTCTACCACATTGATAATTTTCAATAGTAGTCAGAGCTACTATAACATGGAGAAGTTGACTGCGTGAGTTAAGACTGCAACCAGCCGCCAGACATCTTGTTTTCTAAGCTGTGTTTTAATTGTAGAGTCATATTAGGCAGTGAATTACATTATAGTATGCATAATTTAGTTAACGCATGACGTCCCATATGTAGTATCATGGGTGTCACATGATAACGTGATGACCGTGATGCTGTTCATGGATGTATATAGGCCACAGTACCCACTTACCATTAGGTCGGCTGTTAGGCTGCAAACAGCCTAACAGCCATTGCAATTACATAAAAAAGGACGTGAAAGTACATATATTTTTTATATATGAAAAAGACCCTTGTCAGGCAAGTGAATGGCATCATCTACTTTAACTATTTAGCGAAAACCCATTATCGAGCCTTCGTCGTCGTCGTTGGGACGTCGAACTTTGTCATCTGGTGGAGCGTGAATACTTTACAAGTAATGCGTTAAGTACGGAAAACAAAAAGCTCTCAGTCACTCTAAAGTACAAAATGAAGTTTGACGCACGAGTTTTATTTTGGCTGCGCATAAAACTGGGTCTACTAAATATTGTTTCCACGGTTTGATTAGTAGCAGCATAGATTCTTATATCTCTAGCTTTAAGATGAACCACCATCTATATAAGTCGATGACATACATGAGAATATATCTATCAAACTAATTTAGAGGATGTAGAATTATGCTAGCTTCCATGCTACTAGCATGGAAAGAAAAATTAAAGGAAATAGCATGGTAGAATTTGCCTGCTATATGTTGTATATAATATATTAAACTCCATAGTAATAAAATTCGATATTAAACTATGTTTGCTGGAGGAATATTGCAATGTTTAAGTAGTTATAATATTGACTTAAAAAATGTTTAGAATTTATTGTGCTCTGAATTCAATACTGACGCCACGGAATGTTCGAAAAGTGAATAAATGTATATAAAGTAAAACAAAACAATAACGGTGTTCCTGCGTGACGTGACAAATTTGGATTTTCTATTTTGGATTGCAAAAAAACTAGTAAATTTTTTTTATTGCTTTTGATACAATTTTCTAATAATACAATTATCATTTGAAAAAACAGCAACAGGGGTACCTACATCATTAGGAAATATAAATATGGTGATGTTTGAGCCACTTTTTTATAGATACGCAAGTATAGTCGAATATTCAATAATGACCGAGAATTCTGTTCATAATTGGGGACAGCGGAGATAAGTAATGCGACGACCAAGGACAATGCCATCAAAAGATGTTATACTTAATAATAAGAGGAAGATAATTAATAAAATGTCGCGCTGTGATAATGTAATGAACGTTAAATAATTTATGGATCAATTTCTTTTTTAATTTGCCAGTGAGAGACTTTGTACAACGTCATTTGCGTGGGTATATCTATCATATCTATTTATTTTTTCCAAACAGCTTATTTTGTAGTATTGAAATAGAGAAAATATTAAAACATATAAACATGGCAATGGTTTATACATTGACATTAGAAAAATTGCATAGATTCAAAAGTGAAAAATTCTATAAAAATGTAATAAACAATAATTTCCTGATGGTAAGCATCATACTTTCAATAGCAAGTTGTATTTCAGTTTAAAGTGTTAGAAATTGTAGTGAAATACAATTGATTATTATTACAATAATAATAATATCCCTGGACAATTCATATAGCGCCACCTAATCCCAAGATAGATAATTTATATTAATATATAGACATTTTTTTTGTACATGTTCATACTAATACAAGCAATCATACTCATGAATACAAATACTTGTACCGTGTGAGGAATTGACCCCGCGAATATCGAAGTAAAGCGGCGCGGCGCGGCGGCGTGCTACACCATTAGACCATCGAGGTCGTCAAAATGACCATATACTCGTAGATGTACACAAATCCATAAAAAGACAGTTATTAATATTAATTAACCTGTTTAATAGCTAGTAAAGCGTACAAGAAATTAAATAGTGGCTTATTCATGAATTGGTAATATGATATTAACATAATCTAATGTTGTATGCAATAAAAGCTATTAAGGTTTGAATAAATCATTGTTTAATTTGGCGTAAGTGCGTTAATTAATTAGGTACTTACCGTGTTCATCTTTGTAACGGCGGCATAAGGAAAACATTCTGCGCTTTGGATGACACCTGTTGGAAATGAAACAGAATTATGTATCTCTTTTTCTACTGGTTAATTTGTTCTGCCTAATATTATGGGCAGGAATTTCCACTTATATTGTAGGTAACGAGAGATATAGGTTGTAGACATTATATTGTAGATAGATACTTTACAAATAGTTATTGAAGAATATTTTGTCTGTCTGTTCGTCCTTGCAAATCTTTGAAACGGCTGCACCGCTTTTGACGGGACTTTCAGTCGCAGATTGCTAATTTAGTTGTTATTTTAAAAATTCTATTTATTTTAATACAACACCGACCTAACCGACCCAAAACAGATTGTCCTTAGCGCCATAACATTAGGAGAGCTGAAGTCAAAAAGTGGGCAGCAACTAAGAAGAATATGATTATTTTAATAGAAAGGTAAGTTCAATTCCATGCGGATGAAATTGCGGGAAACAGTTACATAGTATATATATATATATATTTAGAGATATCACTGATTGGCTACGAGTTTATTTGTATGATTGCTACGACATGCTACGTGGTTGTGTAGCAAGTTCTACGAGATACTTTAACTGTAGCTACTATAGATTATCCCAAAGAATTATTATGTTCTGTAAACATTCAAAAATCTATGCAATGTCGTTTAATACATACCATATATACAAAACGCATAAATAAAAACATAAGCATACAGCATATATAACGAAAATGTTTAGATAGATTCTACGCTTATATTAAAAATCCCTATTGTATACATTAAAACACCTTTTTTTATATCTAAAATAAAAAAAAAGTTTGTTAGACACGCTAAAACTCAAGAACTACTGGTTGATTAATGACTGATTAATTAATGGCTAAATATAAAAATATTTAGTACCTAGTTTAAAAATATTTGTAAAACTTCAAGGAACGCTTAAATAGTGAGAAAATATGAAGAATTGCATAGAAAATAGTAGATACAACAATTTTATTTTCCCATACAAACTGTTCGTAATTGTTAAAACCGTAAATTTGAAGAAAACCTTTTGACATATTATTTAATTCAAAGGCGGAACGCTGATCGCGGATTCAGTTAGTTCTGAATAAGTCTTTAATTCTTTGATCTATATTAAGTTACGTTATCAGATGTAATGGACTCTATTTTATTAAAGAAAATATATAGATTCGTAGTATTCAACCCGGGGCATATTGGTAGCTGTTTTGTAAGATCAAGCCCAAGAAAGGTAAGGAAATGAGTTCAACTGTGCTCCTCCAACGAACGTGTTTCTAGAAACTTATTGTTAGTTTTACCGAACCGATTCTTGAAACCAATCCTTCTTAAAAGGCCGACAACGTACTTGCAATTCCCCTGGTGCTGCGGGTGCTCATGAGCGGCGGTAATAATTTACCGTCAGGTGACAAACGAACTTGCAGCGCTCGTTTGTCCTCTAAACTAGAAAAAAAAATGCTATACCACCAGTCATCCAGATAATTATGTATCTTTTTCATATCAAACAATAAAGAAATTAAATATTCATTATCATTTTTTTTATAAAACCATATTTGCCCGAAATCCCGCTCTGTATAATCCAATTAAACTTCACAAAATTAATCTGTAACCGTTATTAATCACGCGACTACAACAGAATCCATTAGAATCTTTTTTATTAATTACTAGCTTCTAGTCCCATTTTTACTTGGGTATATATATATTTAATATAATAATTGTATTGAAAATGGGACAAAATCTTCACGCCTGACACCTTTGTCGTATGGAATGATTTTTTTAATTTTATTTTTTTCGAAATCCAATTGCGAATTATAAATAATAACAAATATTATGTTCTTAAAAATAATGTCAATTAAAGGTTTAAAGGGTAAAAAATATTTCATTTATATAGATACACGAATAATTTCTGTAAGTTACACAATACACAACCAACGAGAGGATTGCTGCAGTATTTAATTAAATTACGTACACAAAATTCATTTATCCCAAAATTTAGTTTAGTTAGATTTTAGTTTAGTTTTACTTCCTGTATGTAACAAGAAATAGCTGCTTGATAGCATTCATTTTCGTATTATGATAACTGTATGTTCTCATATGCCAATTTAATCATAAAAGAAGGGTGTTTATACATTTATAATAAAAAATCATAAATATTAAATTTATTTTTGAAGCCACAAAATAAGAGGAACATTAAAATGTTTGTTTATCTGTACCTTTGTACACGCAAATCACAGAAATGACATAAGCAATTTAAATGCAGTTTTAATGATATATAAAATATTCAATGATATATAGGAATGTAGTAAACACTAAATTTTGCCTCCAGCAAAATTTTGTGATTGCTGCATTCCTGTTCAAAAAACAAGATTTATATTTTTTTTTACATCCATTCTAATGCCACTGGATATAACTATAACTACACTTTAATTAATCATAACTCTCCAAATAGACTACTCCCGTTATTAATGAAAACGTACGTTTACAAAGCGTACTAATTCGCGCGCATAACTAGTATAGAATTATAAAGTAAGTAACAATATTTCAAAGAATGGAAGTGGAGGAAACAAATTAAATTAAAATAAACTTATATTGAATACTGAAAATGGTTTAGTGGCATTTTTGACAACCGAATTGGCGGGAATAAACGTCAATCTTGTAATTTGACGTCAATTCCCCTGGTCGTATCTCGACTAGTCTGGCGTGTACTCGGAATACTCATTTTAGTTCGCAGCTCCCTTGCGAATTAGTTCGTTCGTTCCCAACTCGAGTTAGATAAAGGTAGGCTGTACAACCCTACTAGTGTACTTGCCTGGGAGTACCCTTTTTCAAGCCAAAGGATCAAATTTACCCCAAATTTTATATGATTCCAGTTACAAAATGGTGGGCAAGTCAGTCATGTATTACATCTGCTGTATCTCATCGCAATGAGATCGCATCGCAAAAAATAATCATCATCATCATCATCATCATCTGCTTCTTCCTTATACCATTTATTTGGGGTCGGCGTAATATGTTTTTCGCTTCCATTCATCCCATATTTCATCGCATAAAATAATCATGCATTACAATATATTATTTGTATATATTACATATTTGTATAACTCATGACCGCAAATATCAATTTTGTTTTTTTTTTCAGACAGTCCTAGAGGACTGTATAAACGCTATAGATAGCGTTTATAGAACGAACTAAAGAGCAGAAGAATCGTGAAGTAGGTTGCGTTTTTTTTTTGAGAGCGCTATCCAATCTAGTTCGTTCGCGAACTACACAAGCCCTCTCTCGAGTATTACGACCAGATTACCAAGTGTATACTCCTCGGTCTAAAATGAATTATAAATTGCCAACATGGGCATATTACTTCGTTTATATATTTAAGATTTATTGACTAATAAATATTGTACAAAATGAGGACATAATAAGTACTACTGACAATTTCTACGAGTAAACCTTCGGGAAGTGCAGGAATATTCAAAGGCAGTTTAATTATAAAAATGAAAATAATTGGTACTAATATTATAAATTCGAACTGTTTGTTTGTCTGTCAGTTCACTTCTTAAGGACCTTTTATAGCAATAAACGGCTGAAGGATTTTAATGAAATTTAATATTAGGATATATTGTATCACGAGAATGGGAGCAAGCAGAGTTTTAGTTGAACAGTGTGATTAGGAATAGCAACCACTAGATAAAAGACATGAAAACTTAGTCCTCCGACAACCTGTAGGTTATCAGCAACCATTACCACTTACCATGAGATATACCAACTTATTTCACATTCTAATTATATAAAAAATATATGACAAATAAATATATATTATTTACATTATCAATTCTCATATAGAAACCATTATAAAATCCCAAAGAGTGTAGAGTTTCATCATCTCGACTGGATATATTCCTATTTTTGAAATAAACTAAACGCATAATATTGGTAGAGCTGATTGTACAATGGGAAACAAATATAACTAAAGATCATGCAATAAAAACAAACAAATATTACGAACTATTATAATAAACGAGTTTATGTGGTTAATTTATCGGTCGAAGTGGAAGCGAGAAGTATACCAGCGAAATCTCTCAACAATCTTCTAAAAGAACTTGTCCTGTATAGAACTGCAGTAAGTTCTATAGTAGAACGTGTATCTAAATCTGCTGTAGCAGGCTCCTACCAGATTTGGCTGGGCTGGTTGATAAACACCAGGGATGTTAAGGAGATCCGTAACCGTAACCGAAACTATCGGATATCCGATATAAAAAAATATCCGTAACCGTAACCGAATCCGAAATAAAAGTTTCGGATAATATCGGATAGGGGCGGAGCCTAATTGAGATACGTTATGTAACCATTATATTAGCTATTTGTGTTTTACTTTTGAAATTCCTTAAAAAATTATTACCCGTAACCGAAATTATCCGAAACTAACGGATAATACGAAACAATCTCATATCCGCATCCACATCCGTATCCGGTATAACAATCATTTCTATATCCAAAACCTATCCGTATCCGAAATTTCATATCCATAACATCTCTGATAAACACGAGTGGTGAAGGTGAGTGTTGACGTACATCGGCAAGGACCACCTTATGATGATGATGATGATGTAATCTCGCCCGTTTTAGGCCACTGCGGCTGTCATCAACTCCGGTTTTGCTGTTGATGTGCTCGCATGTGACTTATGTATCCAATTTTGTTGATAAAAATCCTTGCACATTGCGGGTATGAGAGCACAGTAGTGTAGTATAAGGGGCACCTTATACTATACCTGGAACTGCTTGGAGTTTCCCTCTCAGCCACACGATGGACCCGGCTCCCGGACGGTGAATACTCAGATGTTCGTCTCAATTTATTTAATATGTCATCGTCTCGGTTATTGAATATATCCAATTTTATTATCGAGCATAAACTAATACGATTTATGTCTGCGATCATAAACGGCAAATAGGTATAATTAAACTGAATTACATTGTAAAATTTACTGTTGCTACATGAAGTTCCTGATAAATTTCCTTTTCACATTTATGTAATTTTTTATTATTAACCGACTACAAAAAAGGAGGTCCTCAATTGTTCTGAATTTATATGTATGTTACGTCAGATCTGTATTCTACATGGACAGATTTTTTTAAATTTCTAACCTGGTGATTAACCTCTCTAAAATAAAATTATAATATAAAAAATACGCTTCATTTCAAAAAGAGCCAACAGCTGTATGTAGATATTTGACTAATTCTTTTTATGTTTGTAATTGGATAAAGTTTGTATGAAAGAAAATCTATTCTAATATTATAAAAATAAAGCAGATTTTGTTTTGAGGAAAGTAAACTCAGGAACCACTGCACCGATTTGAGAAATTTTGTCACTGTATGAAAGGCATAATACAAATACTAATAGGTATTAAAAAATTATAAAATCTGTGAGTTTATTAACTTTCAAAATTGTATGCCGAACGGACCTTAGTAATAGACGTGAAGATTTCATATGAACATAACCTTTGTAAAAACAACAATGCAGATAAAGTCGCGAATAAAACCTAGTAGTACCTATCATCGAAGAATATTCTTAAATTCTTATCCCACCAGCGGTAGCTATCTGATAAAGGGTGAACAACAAGGTCTCCATAGGTCGGAACTGCATGTCTAAATGTCTAGCAACACACCGTACCCCTAAATAAAAAAAAGACTAGGACGTACTGTATCTATATACACAAAAATTACAAACTCATGAGCACCCAAATGAAGCCAGGGCGCAACTATTGTTCGATAAAACGTATGATTATTAAAATTTTGATTTAAAATCTATTTATTACAAACATTTAAAGAATTCGTTAAATGATTGTCAGGCATTAACATCCGAAACGGCCTACAATATAGAATAAAATCGGTAGTCAGTGTTTAAGCTGAAAAGTATCATCAAAATCGGTAGAGTTGGCGAAGACAATACCTAATTTACAAAAGACTAATTGAAAGGGGTAATTACAACATTTTTAAACCGGTTGAAATACATTCCATTAAAATTGTGTGTTTAATAAAAAAATATTAAACACGAAAATGTAATGAAAACAGATCACAACTTCCATTTAAAATGTTTTAATATTATATAATGAGAAGCTTGCTTAATTAACTTTTAATAATATAATTTACAGTATGGTTTCATACTGAAATTTTCACTTTCATTCATTTATTTAATAAGTGTAATTATCTACATTTATCTATTATACTTTATAACTAAATAGTTACAATTATTTAATTACAGCTTTAAGTTAATATGTACATAATTACATTAAAACTTTTAATAGACAAATTATAGGAGTTTATTATTAATGTATTATAATAAATATACTGAAGAAATAATTTAGATATCACGTAAATAATAAACGGCGTAAGTCCTAAAATAAATTTCAATTTCTGAAAATGCTTTCGGCTACATCTCAAATAGGCCATAAATATATTTTCTCGTCCACTTAATAGGCGTCTAATACTAAATGTACTAGATATACATAATAATACTAACCTGGTAAACCCTACAGTCGCCGTCTGGCTGTGAAAAAGCGAAAACCCATTTTAGCGCCAAAAATTTAAGTGAAATGGAACGTATTTAAATATTTAAATACAGAATGCCACTGCACTATTTAAAAAAAGTTCACCACATGTGTGTGCCAGCATCGACATTGGTCATGAACGACAGCGACCGAGGTTGTATAGCGACTGCTGTCAGGCGCCGCCGGCTCGGGAGACTCCGCCTCAAGTCGGGATAACTCGGTTTTCAGTTCGTTTTCAGGACGAAAGGAGTCCATCAGCGTAGTAAATAATGCTCGTACAGTCGTACAGCGAGTTCTGATGCCTACTTCAGCGCCGGCATAAAAATGTAGACACGTTACCCATAAAAATGGAAACATTTACCTCACATTTATATGTTTTTAGATACTCCTAATATTGCCCAAAGAGTGTTAATACAGTTAATGTAATGGAATGTATACTTTTATATACAGTTTATGAGGAGTCTAAAATAGGTACAATTGTGATATACGTATATTAATTAATACCTCGATATATTATTTGATAATTATATAGCGATTAAAATATAGAGATGTATAATATGAAAGAAACCGTAACCGTCGCTTATAAACTTGAGTAGCATTACTGTTATCACAAGATCCTAATTAATATTGTGAATCTATACTAATACTATAAAGACAAAATTTGCTTGTTTGTTTGCATTGTCCTTCGAAAATGCTGGACCGCTTTGAAAAATTCTGATTAAAATTTAATCCTGCTTTAAGCCTGGTAATAGGCAACGTAATATTTTCAAAAACGTTAGGGATCCGTATGAAAGCTGCGATAAAATTAAAAATAAGCCAACTTGGGAACATACCAATAAAAATTTTATGTCGCATAACCTGTGGAAATTAATGATAACAGAGCATAATGATGTACTACAAATTGTAGTTCATATACATTTAGAGGATTGAGGAGAGATTTGACGTAGAGGACTTCGATATTGAAGAATGTGTCTGTTAATTCTTGCAATTTTGTTAAAAACCCGTGCAAAACCGGGGCGTGCTGCGAGTGCGAGTGGTAAAATAAGTTTCTTACGCTCGCACGCCTGAATGGCAAACCGAGGTAGATTCTGAACAAAGTTGTCTGTGTCTACCTTCCACCTCTCTCAACTATTTAATCAAGCTAGCATGTTGCCTTATTGAAAAGCTAATATATGTTAGAGAGGTAAGAAATGCCTTATGAATGGCAACGCATGACGGCCACTGCTGGCGTGACATCAAGACGCGATGTGACCACTTACCGTCAGATGGGCATACGAATTGTTTATGTCAACGGTAGTACGTAATTATACGATTAAAGCAGTTGGCATCTTGACCTCTCGTTTACTTTACACAGTTTTCATTTACAGTTTTGTATAAAATAGACTTCTCTACGAGCAATATCGCTAATAGTTAAACTTTATCTGAATGGACTCATCGTTCGGAATACAAATAAAATCAATGGTAAATTAAAAATAATAATAATCCTAAACAATTCACACAGCGCCATCTAGTCCCAAGCTTAGCTGAACTTGTGTCACAGCTGATACAAATACTTAAACATTTTTTTTTAAATACATAGATAACAGGCATAGATAATACTCAGACAAATACAAACAATGATACTCATGAATATTATTGTTTGCCACCTACGTGGTATAAAAAAATATATAAATTTCTGTACCGTGCGATGAATCGTACCCACGACCATCGAAAGTAAGGCGGGCGGTGTAAACAGCTAGACCACCGAGGTCGAAATTAAATTGACATTCTCAGCATTCTATTTCCTATACAGATCCATAATTAAGAATCAATTCTGTAAAAATTGCAGACTAATATCTCTAGATGGAATTATGTGAAAGCTAGATAAACGGACAAGCATACTGTTTTTACCGTGTACCGTCACGATTTTACGATTTTATTATACGTAATGGAGGAGAACCGGGTTTTCTCTTTATGTACATCATGTATATATACCACGGTTAATACTTTATCAAAGTTTCGACAGCTGCTACTCAGCAATTGGAACAGTTCTACCACAGATCAGATAATATTATATAGTTCTACGTTCAAATATCAACGGTGGCCAATACCGCATGTTAATGCTACCTATGTACATACATCTCGCATGCAGCTCCAATGGTGCTCTCAGTAGCGAATAGGGAACTATCTTTTACCAATAACACGGATATCATTTCTAGAAGCGTCTTGATTTGAAATAATACCTTTCAACAAAAACAAATTAGATAATTCGATTTCATTATTACGGACCAGCCAATAATTCATTGGCATTCTTAAAGTCCATCAGGTTTTGATATTTGAATAACTTTTTTATTTGTAAACCGATTGATATAAAACAAACACTAAATTATAAGTGTAGCTTACCAAAATACTTTACTAAACACTAGATATATATAGGATAAGCCATTCCTGTTATTAGTATGCACAAACGCACAGACAAATATATATTGTAACAATGTTTGTATAGAGATATGCTATGTAAGTATAGATAACTCAAAAACTAAAAAAATTGGTCAAATTTATATAAATTCGGAACATGAAATGCACCATTTTTAAAATAGAAAATAAAATAATCGGTTCACTCCGGAGCACCCCGCAATTTGTTTCCATCCGGTACTGTTTTTTATTGTGCGAGAATATTCCACAATGAACGATTTTGATAAGGTCAGTCCATCTAGTGAGCGACTCCGACAAAGTATTACATATTTTTATATGTACGCATAAATTTAGTCTGTCAAATAACGACTTTTCAAAGCAAACTGTAGAACAGCAAAAGTAATCCATAATCAAGAACGATTAAACAAAGTTCTCCTAAATGTAAATATAATAATAAATGCCATATCCAGTATAAAAGCAATACTTTGTGACAAACCAAACTTTCCAACGTCTCTCCTCTCAGAATCAATGCAAACAGTCCAATGAAAACTGAAATGAAAATTCATCCGTATATGTTTCAAAGGTAGGGAATTTGAAATCAATCTGAATTCAATTGAAGCGGAGGGCCGTTGATAATTGGTTTTTCAATTCTAATAGGTTCCGACTCAAAAAAGTTAAAAGGATATCTTAAATCGCAGTTTTGTTACGGTAGACATACTATAATAAGTGTGGAATTTGGTCTGTTTATTGGTTTTTTTAATACCTTTTTAATATTAAAGGACTGAACGGATCTGAATGAAAATTTGCGAGAATATAGATTGTGACACGAAGACGGACATTTCGGTATTTGCAATAATAATATTAATTATATAAAATCTTACTAATATATTAAACGCGAAAGTTTATTAGCATAGATGGATGGATGTTGTACCCTTTCACGCAAAACCTACTGAATGGATTTTGATGAAACTTTACAGTAATATAGCTTATACATCAAAACAACATATATGTTACTAACCTTATCCGAGCACAGCTAGTATACTATATATTACAGTTTATTTTTTTTAGATAAATAATTTTTATCAGTCTTTACTAGAATAAGATCTAGATTTACTTACTTAATTTAAGCATTACCTATGAATATTTATATATTATTGAATTTAATATAATAATGAAACATGTCATATATTATTGAGTTCTCATAGTACGAGACAACAAGTTCTGCTAAGTTTGGGAGAAAAGTTTGTTTCTGAGCCTGAAACATTCCTACCCCGCCGGTCTTACCGCAAGACACACACTTAATCCTACAAGCGACGATAATTACTGGAAGTTTTGTGTAACTCCCCTGGTCTACAATGGTCTTTTGTCAATTTGAGTCGAGAAATAACAATGCATCTTACAATTACAGTATATGTTTTAGTTTATAAGAAGGTATGAAATTGATAATTGGAACTTCCAAACAACTTGCTTTGTATTCTGTTTTAGTAAGGGGCAAATGTGGCAGTGTAATAATACAGTATAAAATTCGTAAGAAAAAAGTACTAATTTACCCTTTATGTATTTTCTTAAAAAACTCTTTTATTTATTACCACATATTTAACAACATATTGTTTATGTATTTCATTCTAATTCCTCCAACTGTTTATTACAGACAATAAAGAGATAAACAGACAGTTTAGGGGGGAAAGGAGATTGTTAGTAATGTGGACTGATGACCCCATTGCTATTAATACACAGATTAGCATCCACGCGGTTCCCTCTGGAGACTATCATGATAAATTTGACATCATGTTCATCTTATCATCCTCCACTAGAGTCCCTCAAGCGTCGTCAGCATTCCATTAACATCCATTAAAAATAAACAGACAATTTTGGCCTCGTCGCGATTTTACTTCTATTATATACATAATAGCAGTAAAATCGTGACGAGGTATAACTACTGATTATTATATACATAATCAAGTCATTTGACTACATGATTAGATAGACTATGTATGTAGTAAAATCGTAAGTATTCAATGTATTCAATAATAAAATGTGTTTACAAAATTGACATATTGGGTACACCTACTATATCTGATATTATATTAGTCGAGTAAGGGTAATTGCTGAGTGAATTATTGCTCAGCCCACAAGTTTTAAATATATTGAAAACTATTGACAAAATATTTCGCTGTAAAATTTAGGCGTTAAATAAATAAACTTCTATGATAGAGTTATTATGACACTTTGCAACTACAAGTTATGTCCAAGTTTCTAATACATACTAAGATTATTAAGATCATTATTTATCGTATTATAAATTGCGTAGGAATTATAAGAATACTAGATTTTGCCCGCGGCTTCGCTCGCGTTAATTTATCCCCTTAGGGGTGGAATTTATAAAAATCGTTTCTTAGGGGATGCCTACGTCATAGTAGCATGTAAAGTCTCAGCCCGATAGGTTTAAAATTGACAAAGTTTCATACAAACTTTCATCCCCTATTTTATCCCCTTGGGGGTAGAATTAATCAAAATTCTTTCTTAGCGGATGCCTACATCGTAACATCTACTTGCATGCCAAATTTCAGCCCGATCCGTCCAGTGGTTTTGGGTTGTGCGTTTATAAATCACTATGTCAGTCACCTTTGATTTCTATATATTTAGATTTGCTTCCTTGAATATCTCCCTACATAGAATCAATTAGTTTCCTTCAATTTTATTTCATACCTACTTATACTTATACTATATCTCAAAAACTCAGTATACCTAAAGCCTGGATTCTGCTCCAATTCCAGTATTCATGCTCTGTAAGTTTGCTTACAATCCGTTAAATACTAAGTAGAGCTGAAAAGTAACCACAAATATACTATAATAACGAGTAGTTACTAGTTACTAATACAATTAAGTATTATAGTAACGTTGCGTTACTTATTACTTATGATTAACTCGCCACTTGAATCTAAAATCGTACCGTTATCCGCACTTTAGCCTGGCATTTGATTACCATAGTATAGCACGTGTAGAGTCGAGTAGCCAGCTAAATTCTTTCAGAAATACTAAAGCATCATTTCTTCGCGGTCTTCTCAGCGTGCTATAGTAACTACGGTAATAACGTTACTGAACGTCATTATAAATAACATGCTAGTTACTCAGTATTCGATATAAAATAGTTTGCAACATCTCTATTTAATAGTAGAGACGAGTCTCGCGCGGTCTAGTCGGGCCATAGCAGGCACTGCCATGACCGGGTAAACGGGCTGTGACCGCGTGACCCGGTCATGGCCTGACCCGGTTACCGAGTATGCACCGCCCGGGATCTCTCCACTTGCATTCCTTGATTGATTCTGTGGGATATTAGTAGCTTTCTACACGCTTAGTAGGTACTTATTGTAACAAGTTCTTTGGATTACATATTTTTTTTAGATTTTTTTTAAGTATTTGGTACGATCAGTATGACTAATATTTCTGATATACATATATTAGAGAGAACTAGATCTAGGAATAATGTATACACCTTCACGACTGTTATCCCAGATGGGGTAATCAGAGATTGTATCAATATCAACTATCGACATCATGGTGAACGCAACACTTGACATGCTCACATTTCACTGAGTATATTTCAATATAACGTGACTGAGGATGTCTGTCGGATTAGTTGTTGGGTTTGTTATATTTGTGATAGCTATTTTATTAAATAAACATTAGAAATAGCTATATTAATTTTGAACAGTTAATATGAAATTTTCATTGAAAAGTAAAAATATTTTATCTATTTTTTAAATAAAGTTAAGGACGAGCCCAATTATGGCTACAAAAATACTTACGGATCGACAAAAGAATTTTGTAAAAGTAAAATAATAAATTAATTAATTAATCCAAATGTATTCTTTACTGTACAAAACAACTTACTTTACATACAAATGTACTTGCGATAAACTTCAGTAACGTTTTTCAAAGGAATCTTTATTATCTTTAAGTGCTGTACTATCAAGAGTCATTGTGCCATCGAGCAAATTTGCGAATTTCACTCGACAATCCCTCTGTAGCACCATTTTAAACTCATCGTACTCGTGATCGGAGCTTAAAGTGAAGTTTTCTGCTATATTTGTATAAGAAATACCTTTTACAACAAATTTAATAATTCTTTTCAAACTAATCAACTCCCTTTTAAATTTCTTTACAAGATTCGTTTTATATTCCAATAACGTTTTGAATTTCTCGTTTTCTAGCTGAGCGTTCAAATATCTTGAGCGTATCTCAATTTCTCTACCATTAGCTTCATCCAATTGTTTTTTCATCAGAGAAATAATGGTTTTAAAATCATCCCTAGACTCTGCTAATGTTGAATTTGATTTAATTAATTCCCTAGCTAATTTTTCGTTGATTTCTCTAAGGGTTGTAATATTTGTATGATCCGTGGGAGTGTTGACACTGGACTTGTTTGTCGTTTGCTTTTTGTTAATTCTGTCTGCTACTTCTTTAACTAACACCTCAACAGCTGTTGTGTTATTTCTAAAAACTTCATACGATGTACCAGGTTTTACTTCTATATTGTATTTTTTGTGTTCGTCGTTATTGGCAGATGTACTTAAAATCCTTGTACTAGACAATTTCGGGTGTCCTGGTAAATCATTAGCCATAATTTAGTACAAGTATATTTGTATTATTTACTGTAATTTGTTTATTCTTATATCCATCAATTTAAAAAATAGCTAAATAAAATAATAGTTTTTTTCTGATTTTGTGAATTTTTGACTCAACAGCTAGACATTATTTAGACATACGTCAAATAAAGAGAAGACAAAACCGAACCAAAAAAAAAAAGAGAAGACAGAAGAGAATAAAAAAAGTAATTGACAATTTATTCAGTTAAAAAAAATATATTAGATATCTTGTAAATATGTAGTACGGATCTAAAGGTAGTTATAATTTTATATATATACGTATTAGAACATTCAATCTCGTATTCAATTATAATAATCTATTCTTTCTGTAGCAGATTATTTATGCACATGCCAGCAATATTTACACATTAAATAATTATAAAGAAGATTGTATCTATGAATAAAAACCGTTGTGCTGACTGATTGAATTAGCAACCTACGGTCCGTCATTATATTTTTAATGAAATTTACTATATTTTATAATAATAGTAACAAACCCAGGAGAATTATAGACCACGCCGTATAATCCCAAGCTAGACAGAGCTATGGATACTACACACAATATTTATTTTATATTGATAAAATAAATATTTAAGTATGAATATTCATGAGTATGATTGTCGGAGTACTTAATACGTATATTATGTATTGACATCATATACCTATTAATCACTCAAATATTTATACTCATGAATACTTGCATCGGCATAAATGTTTGCATCGGGCGAGAAATCGAATCCACGATCATGGAAAATAAAGCGGTATGCTAAACCGCTGGACTACTAAGGCCATCAAATCTATGATATATATGTTAATAAAAGTCGATTTTTATGAAACTTTGACAATGCGTTTAGCTAAACGTACTATTATAACGTTTAGGAAATTAAAACTTATAAACATTTTAATTACATTTGTAGATAGTTAAGTTACGTACAGTAATAAAAAAAAACACATTTATAAATACAAAAATAAAAAAAAATGTATAAAAATTCCCGCAGTATTTTCTGACATGCGACATACTAATATTTACATATATTTATAAATGGACTATTTGTATTCTAACAGAAAATAAATATGTTATAACAATAAATAAATGAATATAAAACAATTATAAGAAATTGAAATGTAATTAAATTATATTACGTAATGTTGACTGTTGCCATATACCTCATATGTACCAACTTGCATTCAAACTGGCAACAAGAATCCAAGGTTCTTGTTATATGAACAAACAAACTTATACACCACATTAAGTATAATATTAAATTACAATCAAACTTAAGAAAATAAATTATATAATAAAAACATATAATCTATACATAACTATACATTTAATGACTATCTATACATATAAATAAAATTGGAGTGTCTGGTTGTAATATTGAAGTAACCATTTTTTCCAATTTTTGTCTTTCTGTCTGTCTGTTTGTTCCGGCTAATCTCTAATGGCTGAAATTATTTTGACGGACTTTTTTGGAAGGTAGCTGATATAATAAGGAGTAACTTAGGCTACTTGTATTTTAGAAAAAATATTTTAGTTTAGATAAATAGAATTTGATTGTGTTGGAGAATTACTGTTTAGCCAATAAAGTAGTAATTCTGCACAAAAGACTAGCACAATCAACACAGAATACATTGGGACTAAATGGTTGTTACTATCGGAGTTCCGGTGGACTGACACTCGATCCCGCGACTCCGGCAATAGGCGCTTCGTTGGGTTACTTTGTAGTATTTAGTGAGTAAGAGTCTCACAGTACTCGTTTGTCTCCCCCGGGGTGCGCAGGTCTCCATAAGATATCTTCCCTAGGCCTTAGTGGTTGGAACACCATATTATATAAATTCACTGACGTATCTCACAATTCACACCGAATATTGCTTATAAAAAATGCTAATATGATTTGAAATTTGTATAAAGATGAAAGTAAATAAATACATCGTAAGCTTATATTAATACCTAGATTAGAGAGAGCTAAACACTGGATACCTACTTATACTTTTAATATAATGAACAGCTATATCTATATAAACATTTGTAATATATTTACTTTTAGTTATCTATCTGTGCCTCATGAAATTTTTAGGCGAGTGGATTTAACGGTCTATTAATAAGATATCAAAGTGATTTGAATCAAAGACTCTCCTGGACCTTTTCATTCGGCTAGAGATCTTAACGAAATTAGCAGAAAACCCAGTCAAATATTATAGATAGGTAGTTATATAGGTCCGATAATATAATGTACGTTGTATCTAATTTTGTTTGTAAACCAATTTTGCGGAAAAGGATTTTATTTCGACTGTGTTATATATTTTACAACACACTTGCTCGTAAAGTGGATCTATCTTCACCGGTTTTCGATATATAAAGAAGATCATAATACCCGCGTGCGTTATAAACACAAATAGTGAAGTTATATTTCAACCGTACTATTTGCTAATTTTTTTTTCAAATTTCGAGTTGTACTGCGCTCTGCTCCAGCCACTAGGTAGCGCGCTAATTCAAAAAGGTACAACGCCGCGGCGGCAGTAAAGCAACAGTGTGCATCACAGTTTTATGGTTCAGTTTATTTAAAATCAAGTGTGTTATAAAACGTCGTCGACATTGGCATACATCAAGCGATACATTTAGTTGTAATATGTCATCATTTTGTGACTTAAATAAAATTGTTGTTACTAAACGAAGTCTATTATCTATAGCTCAAAAAATTTATGATCCTATTGGTTTTACATCAGCTGTTACATTAATACCTCGACTTATCCTTCAGGAGACATGGTGTCGTAATTTGGAATGGGACAGTCCTCTGCCTAGTGATTTAAATGAAAAATTTGAATTATGGTGTACAAGTTTATACCAACTTAAACATTGTAAGATTCCTAGGCGACTTCCAGAAGGTCCATTTTCTGAATGTATATTACAATTACATATGTTTTGTGACGCCAGCAGTAATGCATACGCTGCATGCATATTCTTAAGGTCTGACTATAAAGGCAAAATAACAATACGATTGATTTCAGCGAAATCAAGAATTGCACCTCCTAAAAAACCATCTATTCCACGTTTAGAACTGTTAGCTGCATTAATTGGATCAAGATTATTGGCAGAGTCACGTAGAGATTTGAAATTAGAATGTGAGGAATATTGCTGGACTGATTCAAATGTAGCATTGTGCTGGATTAAAAAGGAACTACAATGGAATACGTTTGTAGGTAACAGAGTTAGAGAAATACGGAAGAATACTGATGTTAATAATTGGTTTCATATTCTAGGAAATTCTAATTGGGCTGACTTACCATCACGAGGATGTGATGCTGCAATTCTATTGACTTCTGGTTGGCTGGAAGGTCCGCAATGGCTGAAATCGGAAAATAATAAATGGATAAACTTACCTGTTACCGTAGATAATGAAGAAGTAAACCGCGAGCTGAAAAAATCAACAATTTGTAGTACTAACATATGTTCAGAAGAAATATTAACAAATAAATGGTTTTCCTACTTTTCTAAGTATAACAAAAATATAAGGATGATGGCATGGATGCTTAGATTTTTATACAACACTCGAAATGAAACAAAGTTAAAGGGAGATTTAAGTTATATAGAATATGAGGAAAGCGAAAGAAGAATCTTCAAGCTTATTCAAGTAGAAAGTAAAGAATTTATTAAAAGTAAAATTAAGGGAATAAGTAATTTTTATGACAAGAATAATTTAATAAGAACAAAAACAAAGCTTTTACTTACCGACTTTCCAGAAAGCACGAAGTATCCAGTTATACTACCAGCGAGGAATATTTTAATACATAGACTGGTGGAACAAAGACACGCTCTGTTGCAACACGCTGGATTAAATACCGTGTTAGCTGATTTACGCAGTAAGTACTGGATTATAGATGCTAGACAATTAGTAAAGGCAATAATTTCACGTTGCTGTGTATGTAAACGCTACAGAGCCAAACATGTACAGGTATCGACTGCTCCATTACCTGTAGAGCGTACACGTTGTTCTGCTCCTTTTGAAATTACTGGTGTAGATTTAGCTGGACCACTGTTTTTACGCGATGGACAAAAGTGCTGGATCGTATTGTGTACATGTGCAGTCTACAGAGCTGTACATTTAGAAGCAACCAGATCACTCTCGACTGAAGCATTTATGATGACCTTTCGTCGGTTCATAGCTCGACGAGGAAGAGTCAGCATTATGATGAGTGACAATGGTACAAATTTTGTCGGAACAAAAAATTTACTATCAGAAATAGACTGGACAAAAGTTGAACAAGATTCTGTTATACAGGGTATAAAATGGAAACTCAATGCACCTACTGCTGCGTGGTGGGGTGGATTTTGGGAACGGTTAATTCGAATTTTGAAGGATTTATTGAAAAGAGTATTAGGCAAGTCATCTGTGACATATGAAGAGCTTCAAACTATACTTTGTGATTGTGAAGCGACGTTAAATGGACGGCCTTTAACTTATATCGAAGATGAGAAAAGTAATTCGTTAGAACCATTAAAACCCATACACTTTTTACAACCCATACTACAATCTGATGTCACAGATTTAGACGAATTAGACAGAAATAGTTTAAATAAAAGATTGAGATTTATACAAAAATTAAGAGAAGATTTCCGACAAAGGTTTAAAACGGAATATTTGACGACATTGGGTTAGAAAGGTAAAGAAAAGACAAATGATTTGAAAATAGGTGACGTTGTATTGATCGAGACTGATGAAAAAAGGATTAAATGGCCATTAGGTGTGGTGACAAATATTTTCACAGGTCGAGATCAAGTTTGTAGAACGGCTCAACTAAAAACTTCAACGGGGTTGAAAATACGACCTTTCCAAAAACTATATCAATTAGAAGTTAGTGGTCCTTCGGTAGTATTGTCTCGTCCAAGGTCGGAGAATGGTGATAGTAATATAGAGGTATCGAGGTCGGTAAATAGTGTTGTTCCCATTTCCACACAGGTTGGGCAGACTACTCGTACGGGTCGACACATAAAGATTCCAAGTAGGTATTTGTTTTAAATGTTTAAATATGTTTTTTTTATTATTGTTTAAATATTTTAAATTTGCATACACACATTATTGACATATACGTATACTCAGCC